TGTAGTATAGCTATAAGTTATGGAGCATAATACACCTAGGCTTGCTCTTCTTTCTCTGGATTTCTTTGTCTATTCAGGGCTTTTTCTTTTGTTCCCCTATGAATTTTAGAACTATTTGTTCTAATTTATTGAAAAATGTTGTTGATATTTTGTTAAGAATTGCAGTGAATATGTAAATTGCTTTAAGCAGGATGACCATTTGACAATGTTAGTCCTGCCTAAACATGGGCCTCAGATAGATTTCCACTGATTTGTGTCTAATTTCTCTCGTAAGTGTCTTATAGTTTTCTGTGTATAGGCCTTTCTCTTCCTCAGTTAGGTTTATTCCTAGGTATTTTATTCTTTTTGATGCAATTGTAAACTGAATTGTTTTCCTGATTTTTTTGCAAGTTCATTTTTAATATATAGGAAAACAACAGGTTTAAGTGCATTAGTTTTGTATCCTGTGACTCTGCTGAGTCCAGTTATTAGTTCTATTAGTCTTTTGGTGGAGTCTGTAGGGATTTCTATGTATAATATCATGTCATCTTCAAATAGTGAGATTGTCTTTACATTTTATGGATAGTTTCCTTTGCCATTCAGAAGTCTTGCTTTGATGTACTTCCAATTGTGTATGTTACATTTCTTTCTTTTGCCTGGAAAGATACATCCAGAAAAATGTACTAATGCATATGTTCAACAGTGTACAACCTATGTTTAATTCTAGAGTTTTATTTATTTTTTCTTATATTTAATTTTTTAATCTATTTTGTGTTTATTGTGTCTGATATAAGACAATCATCCAATTTCTTTTTCATAGAGCTGTCCAGTTTTTCCAATACCATTTATATAAAGACTGTATTTTCCTATTGTACATTCCTGCCTGCTTTTTCATGTATTAATTGAGTATATAGGGCTGGGTTCATTTCTTCACTTTCTATTCTGTTCCAAAGATCTATTTAACTTTTATTGTGCCAGTAACATAGTGTTTTTGATTACTCTGGCTTTGTAATATAGTTTTCAATCAGGGAGCATGATACTGCCATCATTGTTATTCTTTCTCATGTTATTTTGGCTCTTCAGAGTCTTTTATGATTTCATATAAATATTAGAACTATTTTCTCCATTTATGTGAAAAGTGCCATTAGTATTTTAATAGGGATTGTATTGCAATTGTAGACTAGTTTGGATGTTAGGGCCATTTTTATAATATTAATTCTTCATGTCCATGAGCATGGAATATTTTTCCATTTATTTATGTCCTTTACAGTCTTTCACCAATGTATTATGCTTTTTAGAATACAATTCTTTCACCTGTTTGATTATATTTACTTCTCAGCATTTTATCATTTTTGATGTCATTGTAAATGAGATTGACTTCTTAATTTCTGTTAGTTTGTTCTTTGTAAATAGAAGTGCAACAGATTTCTGTACATTGATTTTGTATCCTGCAACTTTACTAAATTAATTTATTAATTCTAATATTACTTTTGTGGAGTCTTTTGTGGTTTTCTATATATAGCGTAATGTCATTTGCAAGTGACAATTTTACATTAGTTTATCAATTTGGCTGCTTTTTCTTTTCCTTGTCTGATTGTTATGTCTGGGACTTCCAGTACTATGTTGAATAAAAGTGATGGGAGTGGATATTTTTGTCTTCTTCCTGATTTTAGAGGAAACACCTTCAGATTTTTGCCATTAATTATTATATTAGCTATTGTTTTGTCATATGGACCATCATTATACCCACTTCCCCATATACCCACTCTGTTGAGAATTTTATTATGAATGGATTCTATATTTTGTCAAGTACTTCTTCAGAATCTATGAAAATGTTAAAATGTTTATTTTTCTTTTCCATTGTTAATTGGTGTATCACATTGATTGATTTGTTGATATTAAACCATTCTTTAATCCCAGGAATAAATCTCTTTTCATCATGGTGAATCTTCCTTTAAAGGTTTTTTTTTTCAGTAATAATTTGTTGAGGATTTTTGCATCAATGTTCATTAAGGATATTGGTCTGTCATTTTCTTTTTTTTATACTTATTTATCTAGTTTTGTTATCAAGGTGATGCTGCTATTGTAAAATGAATTTTGAAGCTTTCCATTCTCTTCAGTTTTTTGGAAAAGTTTGAGAAGGTATTGTAGTAACTCCTCTTTAAATGTTTAGCAGAATTCTCTGTGAAACCATGTGAATCTGGATTTCTTTTAGTAGTGTTTTTTGTTAACTGATTCAGTTTAACTACTAGTGATTGATCTGTTCAAATTTCCTATTTCTTCATGGTTCAGCATTGGAAGATTGTAATGATTCTAGGAAATTATCCATTTCTTTGCTGGAAAACAATTTATCATAGTAATCTCTTATACTCATTTGTATTTCTGTGGTGTCAGTTGGACCTACTCTTTCATTTCTGATATGAGTCTTTTCTCTTTTATCCTTGATGAGTGTAGCTTAGGGTTTATAAAATCTGTTTATCTTTTTCATAATATCAACTCCTACTTTCATTCCACTTTTGTTGCATTTTTAGTCTCTATTTAAATTATTTCTACTCCGATCTTGTTATTTCTTCCCTCCTATTAACTTTTGACCTCAGTTTTCTTTTTCTAGGTTCCTTTAGTTGTAGGGATAGATTTTTTATTTGAGATTTATCTTCTTTCTTGAATTAGGCCTTTATTGCTATAATCTTTTCTCTTAGAAGTGCTTTTGCTGCATCCCAAGGACTTTGAATCATGTTTCTATTTTCATTATTCTCTGTATAACTTTTTATTTCCTCTTTGATTTCTTCTTTGACCCATTGCTTGTTTAGTAACATGGTGCTTATCCTCCACATGTTTGTGTTTTTTCCTTTTCTTTTCCTTGTAATTGATTTCTAATTTCATACCAATGTGGTCAGAAGAGGTGGTTGGTATGATTTTAATCTTCTTAAGTATTTGAGACACGTTTTGTGAACTAATATGTGATATATCCAGAAGAATTTTGCATGTGCAGTTGAAAGGAATTTGTATTTCTCTGTTTTAGATGTAATGTTCTGTATACACCTATTAAATCCATTTGGCCTAGTGTGTCATTCCAAGCCACTCTTTCTTTTTTGATTTTCTGTCTGTATGATCTATCCATTGGTGTAAGTAGAGTATTAAAGTCTCCTACCATTATTGTATTACTGTCATTTTTGCTCTTTATGTCTGTTAATATCTGCTTTATATATTTAAGTGCCCCTCTGTTGGGTATCTTCTAGCTGAATTGAGCTCTTAATCTTTATAGAATGTCTTTTCTCTTTTTAGACTTTGTTTTGAAGCTTATTTTGTCTGCATACTGCTGCTCTGGGTTTTTTTCTTTTTTATTTCTATTTTCATGGAATCTTTTTCCATCCCTTCAGCTTCAGTTTTATTAGTATTAAGTGAGTCTCTTCTGGACAGCATATAAATGGATCTATTTTTTATCCATCCAGTCACCCTATGCCTTTATTGGAGCATTTAGTCCATTTACATTTAAGGTAATTATTGATAGGTACATATTTATTGCCATTTTGTTAACTGTTCCCTGGTTGTTTTTGTAAGTCTTCTCCAATCCTTTCTTTTCCTCTTGCTGTCTTTCCTTGTGCATGATGACTTTCTCTAGGCTTTAGTTGGATTCCATTCTATTTTTTATATATCTATTATACATTTTTGGTTTGTGGTTACCATGTGGTCTATATGTAACCTATTATATATATAGCAATATATGTTCCTAGTTAATAGTCACTAAAGTTTGAACACTTTATAAGAGCAGTATATTTTTCATTTTCTCTCTGCTATGTTTTATGTATATGATGTCTTCTTTTAAACCTTTTATTTAGTTAGTCCCTTTACTAAATTTTAGAATTGATTTTACTAATTTTGCCTTTTAAACTTTATATTAGCATTTAAGTAATTGATTAGTTACTATTGTTTGCTTTTGCCAGTGGAATGCTTGTGGCCTTTCCTTTTCCTCTTAAAGAAATCTCTTACATTTTTCGGAAGCCTGGTTTAGTAGTGATGAACTCTTTTAACTTGATTTTATCTGGGAAGCTCATTTTATGTACAATTCTGAATGATCACCTTGCTAGGTAAAGTATTCTTGGTTGTAGGTATTTTCCTTTCAGTGGTTAGAATATATTATGCCACTTGTTTCTGGTCTGTAAAGTTTCTACTAAAAACATGTTCTGATAGTCTTGTAAAGTTTCTCTTTTATGTAAATCATTGCTTTCTCTTACTGCTTTTAAGATTCTTTGTCTTTGATATTTGACATTTTACTTATGTGTCTTACTGTGGATGTCATTGGGTTCAACTTGTTGGGATTTATTGTGCTTTCTGAACTTTGATCTTTGTTTCCTTCCCCAAGTTAGGGAAGTTTTCAGCTATTATATCTTCAAGTTAACTTTCCACCCCTTCATCTCTCTCTGCTACTTTCAGGACTCCCATAATGCAAATATTAGGATATTTGATATTGTCCCAGAGGTACTTTAATCTATCATCATTTCTTATTATTACTTTTGCTTTCTGCTGTTCATCATGCTTTCCATTACACTAAATAATGAAAAGTCTTCTAAATCACTGCATCCTTTAATTGGCTATTGATTCCATCTAGTGTATTTTTTCATTTCTTTCATTGTATTTCTCATATCAGATTGGTTTTTTGTACATTTTCTATCTCTTTGTTGAAGTTCTCACTGAGTTCATCCACTCCTCTCTCAAATGTGCTGAGCATCTTTGTAACCATTAAACTCTTTATCTGAAGATTATTTCATTTAATTATTTTTCTGAAGTTTTGTCTTGCTTCTTTGTGTCAAGAATACTCATGTCTTATCATTTTGTTTGACTTTCAGTGTTTGTCTCTATAGGTTAAGTGAAAGGGCTACCACTCCTAGTCTATGACATATGGCCTTCTGTTGGAATATCCCCTGAATAGACTGTGTATCACTGGCAGTTTTGGCTGGCTGGCTGGAGGATGGATGGTTGTGACCTGGTGTGTCTCAGTGCTGAAGCTCCCTCGAAATTGCCTGGGGATCTCCCATGTGGGTACCAGTCACTGCCATGCTGGTAGAGCAGCTGATATCACTGGGGTGCAGTTTGGGTGTTTCCAATTGGGAATCAGGCTGATGCCTCCTTGGTGGGGTGGCCAGGGGTGGAGGAGAATGGTCTGGTGGTCTCCTGCTGGGTGATGTCTCATGCTGCACTGAGGTCATTTCTTGAGATGAAAGGGCATACTCTAGGAGGCTTCTGGTGTACAGTATCACTGGTGGGGTGACTGTGGATAGAGAGGTATGGTCTGCAGGTACCCTGGGTGGAAATCAGTCAGAGCTGCATTGATGAGGCAGCTAGAGATGGAAGCAGAGTGGGCAGGTTGAATCCATGTGACTACTAACCTAATGTCACCTTGGTGGGACTACTATATTTCTGGAAGATATGTTTGTGTGCAGGTAGGTATGGAAGTCTGCCTTAGTTAAGTCTAGAGCTGGTATATGTGCTATGACTCTGCTCCTGTCCACACTTTCAATATGCAGAAGGGAACATAAGTAATGTTGCTATTTATGCTACTGTTTACACTAGCAACTAGCAATGTGTGGGGGCAATTTTAACAATGAAGCTCACCATGCTTCCATCGGCACTAGCAATGTATAAGGGGAACATACACAATGGTGCTCAGGAGCACCTCTGCTCTTGGAGACAGTACGAGCAGTTCCCCCACAATTTGACTGGTGTTTCAGTTATGAAAATCAGTTCCCTTCCCTAATAGTGTGGTCACCTTTTAAACTGAAAACTCTGGCTTTTTTGTGTGCTCAAACGCAGGAGACTCTACACTCTGGTCCCTCAATGATATGCCTCTCTACTGCAAGGCCACTTCGGGGGTGGGACTCCATTCAATTCTATGTCTCTGTCTCTTCTGCCATTTTTTCATACTTTATTTATCTCTGGTTGTGCAGGAATTCACTCAGATTTCTTCCTCAGAATAAATTTCTTGGTGTGTAGGTATATATTTGGTGTATGCCTGGGTTCAGGCTCTTTCTATACCACCATCTTCTGTCTTAGGTTTATTATCTGTGCTTTTGGTGTCAACAATTGTTGCTAAGACCTATGTTAAGTGTCTTTTAAAACACAAATTTTCTTCTAAGAGTGTTAAATTTTCAGTTGTCATTGTTAGTATTTGATCCATTTCAGATTAATTTTCATGAGTAGTGTAAGATAAGGATTAATTTCATTCCTTTGCATGTAGTTATCCAGTGTTCCCATCACTCTTTTTGAGGAGATAATTTTTCCCTCAAATTTTTATCTTGTATTCGTGGGGCACCTGTCATATATCACTTGAGCATATGTGCATGGGTTTATGTCTTGGCTATCTATTCTGTTTCACTGTACTGCACCTACTTTTATGGCAGTCCCATACTACTTTGATTACTATATTAATATTAGATATAATCATATGTTTTAATATATATAATATATAGTGAAATCAGTAAGTGTAATGCCTTCAGCTTGATTCTTCTTGCTCAAGAAAGCTTTGACTGTTCAGGGTCTTTTGTGGTTACACATATATTTTATGATATTCTTTTTTTATTTCTGTAAAGAATACTACTGGGATTTTGATAGGGATTCCAGGGAATCTGTAGATGAATTTGGGTAGTATGGATATTTTATTTTCTTATCTTTTTAATTTTATGTTTTTATTAAGGGATCATTGATATACAATCACATGAGCCACACTGTAGTTACTGGATTTCCCCCCTATTATCAAGTCCCCACCACATACCCCATTACAGTCACTGTCCATAAGCATAGTAAGATGCTATAGAGTCACTACTTATCTTGTGCTATGCTTCCTTCCCGGGCCCCCCTATATTATGTGTGCTAATCATAATGCCCCTTAATCCCCTTGTCCTTCCTTTCCACCCATCCTCTCCAGTCCCTTTCCCTGGGTTAACTGTTAGTCCATTCTTGGGTTCTATGACACTGCTGCTGTTCTGTTCCTTCAGGTTTTGCTTTATTATACTCCACAGATGAGTGAAGTCATTTAGTACTTGTCTTTCCCCCATAGGTTTATATCACTGAGCATAATACCCTCTAGCTCCATCCACATTGTTGAAAATGGTAGGAGTCGTTTTCTTCTTATGGCTGAATAATACTCAATTGTGCACATGTACCACATCTTCTTTATCCATTCATCTACTTATGAACACATAGGTTGCTTCCATTTCTTGACAATTTTAAATAGTGATGTGATCAACATAGGGGTGCATATGCCTTTTTGAATCTGGGATCCTGTATTAGGGTAAATTCCTAGGAATGGAATTCCTGAGTCAAATGGTATTTCTATATTTAGTTTTTTTGAGGAACATCCATACTGCTTTCCATAATGGTTGAACTCATTTACATTCCCACCAGCACAGTAGGAGGGATATCCTTTCTCCACATCTTTGCCAGCATTTTTTAAGTAGTTCTCTTCTTATTGGCTTAAGCATTTTCAGGATATGAAATTTAGTTAAAATAAAGTAAAGGGCAGAATATACTGCTTTGGTGGATGTACTGTGATTCATTTATCTTGTCCCCCATTGATGGATATTCTATTTGATTCCAGTAATTTGCCATTTCAAAAGTGCATCAATGAATATAATCATACTACTATGATCTAAGAAATCTTTTGTTTCTGTGTCACTTTAAATTTTTTTACTTTGGTATCATTAATATACAATTACATGAGCAACAGTGTGGTTACTAAATTCCCTCCATAATCAAGTACACACCACATACCCCATTACAGTCACTGTCCATCAGTGTAGTAAGATGATATAGAATTACTACTTGTCTTCTCTGTGCTATACTGCCTTCTCCGTGCACCCCTTACACTATGTGTGCTAATTGTAATGCCCCGTTTTCCCCTCATCCCTTCCTTTCCTCCCATCCTCCTCAATCTCTTTCCCTTTGGTAACTGTTAGTCCATTCTTGGGTCCTGTGAGTCTGCTGCTGTTTTGTTCCTTCAGTTTTTCTTTGTTCTTACACTCCACAGAGGAGTGAAATCATTTGACACTTGTCTTTCTCCATGTGGCTTATTTCACTGAGCATAATACCCTCTAGATCCATCCATGTTGTTGCAAATGGTAGGATTTGTTTTCTTATTATGACTGAATAGTTTTCCTTGTGTATATGTACCACATCTTCTTTATCCATTCATCCACTGATGGCCACTTAGGTTGCTTCCATTTCTTGGCTATTGTAAATAGTGCTGCGATAAACATAGGGGTGCATATGCCTTTTTAAAACTGGGATTGTGCATTCTTAGGGTAAATTCTTAAGAGTGGAATTCCTTGGTCAAATGGTATTTCTAGTTTTAGTTTTCTGAGGAATCTCCATGCTGCTTTCCACAATGGTTGAACTAATTTACATTCCCACCAGCAGTGTAGGAAGATTCCACTTTCTCCACATCCTCACCAGCATTTGTTGTTGTTTGTCATTTGGATGATGGCCATCCTAACTGGTGTGATGTGATATCTCATTGTGGTTTTAATTTGCATTTCTCTGATGATTAGCCATGTGGAGCATGATTTCATATCCCTGTTGGCCATCTGAATTTCTTCTTTGGAGAAGTTTCTGTTCAGATGCTGTGCCCATTTTTTAATTGGATTATTTGCTTTTTGTTTGTTGAAGTGCATGAGCTCTTTGTATATTTTGGATGTCAACCCTTTATTGGATATGTCATTTATGAATGCATTCTCACATACTGTAGGATGCCTTTTTGTTCTACTGATGGTATCCTTTGCTGTATGGAAGCTTTTCAGTTTGGTATAGTCCCACCTGTTCATTATTACTTTTGTTTCCCTTGCTCATGGAGATATGTTCATCAAGAAATTGCTCATGTTTATATTCAAGAGAGTTTTGCATATATTTTCTTCTAAGAGTTTTATGGTTTCATGACTTACATTCAGGTCTTTGATCCATTTCGAGTTTATTTTTGTGTAGGGAGTTAGACAATAATCCAATTTCATTCTCTTACATGTAGCTGCACAGTTTTGCCAACACCACGTGTAGAAGAGACTGTCATTTTCTCATTGTATATCCAAGGCTCCTTTGTTGTATATTAATTGACTATATATGCTTGAGTTAATATGTGGACTCTCTATTCTGTTCCACTGATCTATTCGTCTGTTCTTGTGCCAGTACCAAATTGTTTTGATTACTGTGGCTTTGTAGTAGAGCTTGAAGTTAGGAAGCGAGATACCCCCTGCTTTATTCTTCCTTATCAGGATTGCTTTGGCTGTTTGGGATCTTTTGTGGTTCCATATGAATTTTAGAACTATTTGTTCCAGTACATTGAAGAATGGTGTTGGTATTTTGATAGGGATTGCATTGAATCTGTAGATTGCTTTAGGGAGGATGGCCACTTTTACAATATTAATTCTTCCTACCCATGATCATGGGATGAATTTCCATTTATTAGTGTCCTCTTTAATTTCTCTTAAGAGTGTCATAATTTTCAGGGTATAGGTCTTTCACTTGCTTGGTTAGGTTTATTCCTTGGTAGTTTATTCTTTTTGATGCAATTGTGAATGGAATTGTTTTTTTGATTTCTCTTTCTTCTAGTTCATCATTAGTGTACAGGAATGCAACAGATTTCTGTGTATTACTTTTGTATCCTGCAACATAGCTGAATTCATATTTTAGTTCTAGTAGTTTTGGAGTGTATTCTTTAGGTTTTTTTATGTACAATATCATGTCATCTGCAAAAAGTGACAGTTTGGGTTCTTCCTTACCAATCTGGATGCCTTTTATTTCTTTGTATTGTCTGATTGCCATGGCTAGGGCCTCCAGAACTATGTTGAATAAAAGCAGGAATAGGGGGCATCCTTGTCTTGTTTCTGATCTTAGAGGAAAAACTTTCAGCTTCTCATAGTTAAGTATGATACTGCCTGTGGGTTTGTCTTATATGGGATTAATTAATGTGAGGCACTGGCCCTCTACACCCATTTTGTTGAGAGTTTTTTTTTATCATGAATGGATGTTGCATTTTGTTGAATGCTTTTTCAGTGTCTATGGAAATGATCATGTGGTTTTTGTCCTTCTTTTTGTTGATGTGGTGGATGATGTTGATGGATTTTTGAATGTTGTACCATCCTTGCATCTTTGGGATGAATCCCACTTGATCATGGTGTATGGTCCTCTTGATGTATTTTTGAATTCAGTTTGCTAATATTTT